TCAGGTGAAGTGCTGGCGATGCAACCAACAGGAAGGCACTAAGCCAATACTGGCAACGAATCCAAGACCTGATAAAATCCAAAGTAGGGAAAACCCTGCCACCTACCCCTGAACATTACATGCTCCTTATGTTACCACAAGGTATTACGGCTCACGAAGCATCACTAATCACCCACATCACACTAGCTGCAAAGCAATGCATAGCCGCCCTATGGAAATCCACTCTAGCACCAGATATACAGTCGGTGCTTGCCAAAGTGAGCCTCACTCAACAGTATGAGAAAATGTCACACACGATCAGCGGTACCCAACTGCACTATTACCACACCTGGTCCAAATGGTATGATGGTGATGACACCGGGGTGACGAAAACGAACCTCTGAAGTACGTGCAATGAAGAGCATCTCAACCCCCCCATCCCTAGTTTACTGTCCTCTCCCACCTCCTATTACACACCTCCCCCCCCTCAAAAAACTAAGGGCCATAGCTACTTTGGCAAGCCCTAAAAAACCGAGACGATTGGTAGTGGACCTAACCCCTCAACCCCGGCTTTAACCATGCACACCCGGAAGTCCTCTTCCACAATATCCCTACACACACGCATTACTCCCTATGCCTACCGGGCGCTTAGCTCAAACATCTCTACCACCTCCCACAGCAGTTACAGAGTGAATAGCTTATAGTAGCAACATGTAAACGACATCCTGAAGTACAGTTTGAATGCCTATGTGAATGGGCATTTAATAACTTGTGGAAAAAGTTAATTTAATATTTTATTCATGATGTCACCCTCTTAAGAAGTTATTATAGCTTGGTTGACTTACATCTTGATTCTATCAAATGCACACAGAGAGGTTACTAGGAAATGATGCTTGGCACACAATTGTAATGATGGTTAAAGGAACACTATAGTCACCTAAATTACTTTAGCTAAATAAAGCAGTTTTAGTGTATAGATCATTCCCCTGCAATTTCCCTGCTCAATTTACTGTCATTTAGGAATTAAATCACTTTGTTTCTGTTTGTGCAGCCCTAGCCACACCTCCCCTGGCTATGATTGACAGAGCCTGCATGAAAAAAAAACTAGTTTCACTTTCAAACAGATGTAATTTACCTTAAATAATTGTATCTCAATCTCTAAATTGAACTTTAATCACATACAGGAGGCTCTTGCAGGGTCTAGCAAGCTATTAACATAGCAGGGGATAAGAAAATCTTAATTAAACAGAACTTGCAATAAAGAAAGCCTAAATAGGGCTCTCTTTACAGGAAGTGTTTATGGAAGGCTGTGCAAGTCACATGCAGGGAGGTGTGACTAGGGTTCATAAACAAAGGGATTTAACTCCTAAATGGCAGAGGATTGAGCAGTGAGGCTGTAGGGGCATAACTGCTTCATTAAGCTAAAGTTGTTCAGGTGACTATCGTGTCCCTTTAAAAATGTTTAGGAGCAAATGTAGACAAAAAAAATTTATGTTTTCTTTTTCCTTTTTTTTATTTTCTAGCAACACTTGATTCTGCTGTAACTTCTGGAGATCATGGGTCAAAATTATTTCTCATGCGTGACGGCAAGAGCTGTGTTCCTTGTATTTTCTATGAAATAGTATGTTTTCTCTCTCTATTATAATGTTAAATATAGCATTGTCACTTCATGTAATATACATTTGTTTTTACAATTCAATAAAGATAAACAGACCTTGGCAAAAAAAGTTTTCTCAGCCAGAAAATTGTAACTAGTCAGGAGATTGAAAGTTACTCATATGATCAATGTTACTGCATCTTTTTAACTTGGTTGCTAGATATTTTGACTCATAAGAGGTAGACTAGTGAGAATTTCCATCACGAACTGTCAAAATAATGGTTATTATTGCTATTCCAGTTAAAAAAAAAGATGCAAGCAGTCCAACCCTAAAGCTAGTAACATGGGATTCTAATATCATATCATAACCAATCTTCAGGACATATATAATCACAATTAGGAGATGAAAGAGAAATATTCATTGAAATAATGGCTCTTTACAATATCTAATATACCTCCTTCTTTTTAGGATAGAGAGCTACCAAGATTAATCAGAGGTCGAGTTCATAGGTCAGTGGGAAACTATGACAAAAAAAGAAACATACTGAAATGTGTGTCTGTGAGACCTGCTTCTGGTACAGAGCTACAGACCTTTAAAGAATTCATTAATGCTGCTAATGAAGAGATGGAAAAGTATACTAAAACATTCAATGAAATGTAGTAGGCTTCATTTATTTTTTTCTAGATGCTTGCAATGGATGCAAAATGCACAGTAATTGCATCACAAGATATCTGAGTTTGTGACGAATACACTGTGATTGAAAGTTGAAATGCTTGACAAAAATGTTTTTGACGAACTGAGAGTAATTTTTATTTTTACAAGTATCTGTTGCCTTCTGTTAATAGAATATTCTACCTGCTTTAGTTCAGCAATAATAATCCAGAAGATCATTTGTGTCTAAATGTGCTGTCTGTTTATTCATCAAACACATAAAACATTAATAATAAATGTGAGGTATCATATGAGTAGCTGCGTATAACAGTACATTTTAGCATATGTAGGCTATGTATAATAAAATTATATTTACTTCAAAGACAGGCTGAAAAATTATTTATGTTAGTGACCTTTTACATTCATTGCTGGGTGTGCCCAATATCTAATGCACTTGAAGTCTAGAGTGAATGTGCTTTTAGATTTTTATTTTGGTTTGAGATTGTGTTTGTTCACCTGATTTATTAAAAACTGTCAATTATCTTGTTATTTTGCTTGACGTTTTTTAATTAATTTTTAGTTTATTTTATGTATATATTACTAGTCTCATGCAATGTGGACCCCACACATTAAGAGGTTATTGACACATAAACTGGTTCATGGACTGCAGGATAAAACTTACCAGGAAAAGTTAAAGGACCTTAATATGTATAGCTTGGAGGACAGATGAGACGAGATGGGGGGGGGGGGGGGGGGGGGTGTGATAGAAAAATGTAAATACATACAGGGAATCAACACAGTAAAGGAAGAGACTGTATTGAAAAGAAGCAAAACTACCACAACAAGAGGGCATTGTCTTAAATTAAAGGAGCAAAAGTTTAAAAATAACTGCAGGAAATATTACTTTACTGAGAGGGTAGTGGATGCATAGAATAGCCTTTCAGTTGAAGTAGTAGAGTTTAACACAGTGAGGGAGTTTAAGCAAGTGTAGGATAGGCATAAGGCTGTCCTAGACTTAAGATAAGGCCAGGGACTAAAGAAAGTATTTAGAATATTGGGCAGACTAGATGGGTCAAACGGTTCTTATCTGCCATCACATTCTATGTTTCTTTGTCCTTCAATAAATTGTTGGTATTCATGGTAAAATTGAAGTTGATTACATTTCAAAATATAGAACAAATTATCAGTAGAGCAATAGCAATGCTAAGTATCTGACTAACTAACTCATATGATAAAATCTAAACACATAGAAAAACAAATGAATGGAAATGAAAATAAAAACAAACAGTTAGAAGAAAAAATATTTAAATGAGGTCCACAATCAGTGTAACTAACCTGTTGTCTGTTGTTATATTGAAACTTCCCTAGAAAATTATTCTTTATAGCTGGGAGGTTACAAAAAAGGCTGGTAAACTGTATCTACATATAACACAATGGTGTACAGGTGCTGGGTTTGGTTTTTATTTTATTTATTTATGTGTGGTTTAGTATAGTGTATAGACTTGTATTGTGCCATGTTGGTGCTTGCTATCTTTTTGCATCAACATTTCCATGTCACTGCAACCTTGAAGTTTAACAAAATACCTTTGCTATTGGGAGCAGGTTTATAGTATAGTTTTATTTATTGGCATTTTATGTGTAATTTAAATGCTATTTTGAGTATATGCTAGATTTATGTTATCTATTTTGAGTTTATACTGAGTATTTTTTATAAAAGAGAATAAGTACATAGTGGTTCCACTTGTTTAGGTGGATGTGTGTTGGGAGAAGGAGGTATGGCTACATTGGAGTGAGCATAAGGTTATTGAGTATTGGATATAGAAATATGGTTAGCTGGGTTTGAGAGGAGAAACAAAGGAGAGTTTGAGCGTAGCAATAAAACCGTTTGGGTGTTGGTACTTAGATTTGGAACTAAGAAGCCTGTGATTGGGTTGGAGAGTAAGAATGGCACGTGGAAAGAGCAATAAGAGATTGATAGAAAATCTAAATATTAGCATTCATTTGTGGGTCGAATATATGACTCATATATGTTTGAGAGAGAAATACTGTAATGCGGAATGATGCTTTGGAAGAAGAAATAAGATTTTGGTCATCATTGAGGAAGTAAATAGGTCAAGGCAGCTTATTCTAAGTTACAAAGCTTCCACTATATTTGGGTGTAGCCAGCGTTTCTTCCTTTCACTATACTGTTATGATGTTTAGCTTTTCATACACTAAAGGTGCATGGTGTAATAATTTATTACCCCACATACAAGTGAGGAGATCCGTCTAGAAATTTGAAATTAGAAATCTGCTCTCATTCTCATTACATATGTCTCCTCAACCAAAGTTGTGTTTTTATATGATTAACAACAAAACACAAATTGTGAAATTATAATATTTTCATATGGTGGCTTATAGCTTTTTGTTAGTGGATTGGTTACTATTTTGTCTTTTCTGATTCTTTTTTGTAATGCTGACTTATTCTGAATATTATTCACATCTTGGGTCATGTTCAAGTGCAAATGTGAATTTCAGCATTTGGTTTAGTTAGGCCATTACCAATAGCTATTTTTTGTGATTGTTTTTTATTTTTATTTATTTGTTTTATAGTTTAGTATTATCTTAAATACTGTGCAGTAAGCTAATAGCTGCTAAATAATACACTGTAGTGCCCTGTAGCTGCCAGGTTTTACGATAAACTAATACATAAAACATTTATAAAAGTTATTGTGAATGAGGCTCACATTTGCAGTTGTTTAAAAGACCAAACCACACAATTTAACCCATCAGTTTGAATAAAAAGTACTTTATTAGTGTGACAAAATCAATGAAAAATATATTTTAGTTAACCGCTTAACATTGGAATCTAAACATTTGAGTATAAATAAAAGGCAAAATAATAATAACAGCCGTTTTGCTCTGAAGACACTACGAAGGAACTTGACTTCATTATATATATATTTTTTTCTTTTTACAAATATTCACTGAACAGACAAAATGGGTTTTGGAACAATATTTTACAGAATGTACAGTGTTTTGCAGTTAATAAACATCCCTGGTACATAAGATTTTGTTCTATTGATCTTTTATTAAAAGGCACAGGCTGGTACGGTGGCAACATGTTTGTGAATATATTATTTATTACAATATAATGTTGTCATTTGTGACGCCTTATACAATATCACAAAACATTCAGAAAGTATAATTTTGTGCATGGACAATATAAACGAAGTCCACAACACTACCATACTAAATATTGTTGTTTATTATAGCATCAACATCATGGGCAGTGTGGTAGATTGATTGGTATAATAAACAAGTACAGTTAACATAGTCACGCTGTAAACATCCTATATATACATATGCTGTAAGGTTAACCAGACCCTCTTTGATTCACTTGTACCTTTGTCCAATATTAGTTAGAGCACTATTGACTATTATGTAACTCAAGTGGTCAAATCAGGATAAGATCTAAAATCGGTGCTGGTCCATGCCTTTTCAAGATTCCCTATAATATAGAGATGCTGCAATTTTTGGAAGAATAAAAATTTTTTATTATATTTTTTTAACCTAATGAACAATTTTGTTTTCGAGATATACATGATTTGCAACGTAAAGTAATGAAAGGCATATTTTGTTATTTTTCTACACAACAGAAACATTTAAGAACATGTATGCAACCCCTTAAGGACTAAAATGGTAAGATATGTTATGTTGTACTTTAAATGCATTTGATTTGAATATAATTCAGTGCTAAAAGTGGTGCAAGAGGAAAATAAATGGTTCCCTGGCTGGTGGTGTTCACCAACACTAACCAAGTAATACCCACTTTACCCAGCACATTACGCTCTCTATTCCCATAATGCAGTAGAGTGTGCATTAATGATAATGTGTGAGCATGAACACCCACTGTATCTTTCCCCATCCAATGAGTGAAGGCAACTTAATGGAATAGCGGATAGAGGATCTGTCTGTCTATACCAGGGGTCAGCAACCCATGGCACATGTGCCATGCATAGCACTTGAGGTGTTATGTTCCAGTGGAACTTCAGATACCTGCTAGTGCAACCCGAGCAGTGATTGCAGGTGGTCAGGGACAATCCTCAATTTATACATTGCAGCACTTCGAAGAAGTGATCTCAAATCACTTCCTACCAGCAACTGTGAATGGGAATCCGCACTGGAGTAGAGCAGTCCACAGCAGCTATCACAGCTCCTGCCCTTGATCTGTACCTGGCCAGCCCGGTCACCGCTGGACCCCAGGGAAGCCACCCATACTGCTAGATATACACAGAGCTGCAGAGGAAGCATTCTTCTCATACAAATAATATAAGGAACCCATACACAAACACACCACTGATAATCCACATACATGCACACAACCAGACAAGCAGCCTCTCACATGCAATACCACAAGCAGTCCCAGACATAGACACCACCAAACAAACAATGTGACATATCATCCAAACAAACAAATCCACAAATAGCCCACAATCATAGGTATCAAACATAATACCACAAACTACTCATAAACATATACAATACAAAAGCCCACATACGCAAAAATACAACATTACAAAGCAACTGCAGCACCCATAAATAACACAAGCAAAATACGGCAATACACACCTCAATTTAAAATAGGACTGGCACGCCATGGGACTTCAAGGTGTTATTTTGGCCCAGTACTACTTAATGGTTGCCAACCCCTGGTCTATAACTTAATAAGGGAGGAACACATGGCAGATTCCACCTAGTTAATAGAGGGGTCCAGTGTTTCCCACTTTTATTTATTGTATTCCAGAACCCAGGGAACAGGTTACAATGAAAAGGATGTTCATGAAGACCCCCCACATTGTCATTAACTCATATGCCACTGCACAGCTTAATGCAAAAATCAGGCATCATGAGCTAATAACCCCTTGATTAGTATGGGTGCAGGACCTGCTCAGTTTTCTGGACCTCATAACACAACATATGATGTGAGAGCATAGGGAAGCATGTGAATTTTTAACAGAAGCCATGGCACCCATTAGCTGCTCTTTGAGAAAATAAATGTTTTGGAGCAACAGTTGATGACAGTCATTCAGCATTAAAGGGAATTTTAAGCTCAATTTATCCAACTTGTTTTTCCAGTCTTTGTATAAGAATGTGAAATTATTTGTACACTGTATGAGCACTGCAAGAAACTGTGCAGGGCTCCCTATAAATGAAGAAGCTTTATTGGTGACTACAATATATGGGAGATGTTTTATAGGGATTTGACACAGTTAAACATGGTGCTTTACCAATTAATTTTTAAAATTTAGTGAAATTTTACAAATCTTTTATTTTATAAAATGAATCCAGCCTATAGCAAGTTACTGGCTTGTGTTACAGAATTTAAGTAAAGATTTGTTTTAAGCAAAAACGTAAATATTTTACTTTCAACGTACCCTTCATTACCCATGATATGTTTCAAACTGTTTTGTGTAGGCGAACAGGAGGGACATCTTATAAAAAGGTTCTGTGTCATGGAATCCACCCATTTTGGAAAACAATGTGACTTGTCTGTTGTGTTGCTTAATGTAAGATTTGCACCATATAGTCAATGGTGTATGAACACCATATTGAGGTTACCACAGTAAAGGAGTTTAAGCATGCGTGGGATAGGCATAAGGCTATCCTAACTATAAGATAAGACTAGGGACTAATGAAAGTATTTAGAAAATTGGGCAGACAAGATGGGCCGAATGGTTCTTATCTGCCGTCACATTCTATGTTTCTATGTAACACAATCACAGTGCAGATCAGCTACATTCTCTATGGTTTATAGGTTATTGTACGTCACTAACCTTTCCTGCATAAAGCCATCATGTTGCCAGGTCTCCATATCCTTTAACCACTAGGCATGTTTCATCCAGTTGGAAATCAAGTTACTTATCAGGCCACAATTTCACTTCTATGGCCCAGGCTTTGTTGAATTTTACTGTCTGCAATTAGGTGACTATTGAGGTGTTGAAATTAAGACAAGAGAAAGGAATGATATTTGGTGGAAGAGGAGGAATGAGCTTTTCAATGGATGGTTCAATGAGAGCTATATTTAATGTTAGCAAATGCTAAAGGCAAGTAACGGATGACTTTAAATCAATGGAAGACAAGAATGAAAAGATTCAGCGAGAGGAAACATGACAGGGAAATGGAATGAAAGAAAACCAGGTGAAACTAAAAAGTGTGTAAATAATGAGAATTGGATGAAAACAGATGAAAGTGGGAAGAATATTTTATTTTGAAAGAAAAAAAGACGGAAATTATAGATTTTTCTTTTCAAACTTTACAACATCCAGTTGCCTTGAAATAAAATTTATTTAAAATGTTACTGCTAGGCCCACAACTGTATGAATGTACCTCTTCTACTGCAAAGATGAATTTATATGTCTGCCTCCTAAATTCTGCTAGCATGGCCCATGGATTTCTTAGCTTTATTTATTTTTTCACAGAGTGAAAGTGCAATTGTTTACAGTAAATTTTGTTCAGACCTGAGTGTGAAACGTAAAAGACTAAACAATGCAACAGGTGATGTACAGTTTAAGGAAGTATACCATAACGTTAACGGCTAGTATTAAGCTACTGCAAACGTTTGACACACACACATGTAAAAATATATGTAAAAATTCCCATATGCCTGCACTCTAGTAAGTTTTCTATTTAGAGCCCGGTGCTTGTCCGCAATAACATATAATTGTAGAAAATGATAGCACTCCAAGGTCTTGTTGAAGGTAAAAAAGGACAGTCCTGATGAAATTTGCATTTTGAACTGAAACGTCGATTTGTTTTACTGGCAACAACCTGAAAAAAAGTTAGGTTTTGCCTTTTTTACCTTCAACAAGACCTTGGAGTTTTATATATATATATGTGTATATATATATATATATATATATATATATATATATATATATATATATATATATATATATATATATATATATATATATATATATATATATATATATATATATATATGTATGTATATATATATATATATAAAAATATATATATATATATATACATAAATACATACATATACTACTGGGGTGGTTGGGCTGGCAACATAGACAATATCATTTACCCCCTGTGCTTCTCTAAGTTGATGGAACTGGGTCACTAAAAGCAACTTCTTCTTGTTTAATAATGTTTCTTCTCCATCTACAGTCTTTCGATAGAATCTCACAGAGTAAATAGAGGTACAGCAGGCACTAGCCTGATTTCCTGGGGTATTTAGTGTACACTGTGTTTCTGAAACACTGTAACACTCATGCCAGCCTGCCCTTAATCTCATTTATTACATGTCATGTATTAGGGAGAGAACAAAGTTATTTTAAACATATTTATGATTATGAGAAATCACTGTAAAATCTGAAAAAATATAAAATTTATATTTCATACACATTTTGTGACTTAACCATGGACATAAGCAAAACCTATTGTGTTCCCTTTCATCATTAATCATTAAAGGTATTAATAGTATTGAACGATGTATAATTTTGTTAACTTTTGACCAAAAGATCTTCAAAAAAAGAAATAAAAAAAAATATTTTTCAATATACAGGTTAATGTCCCTAATTTAAATTTAAGGTTAGGAGGTAGACATCTTGAAATGAACTGGCAAATGAAGGAAGGCGTAATAACAAGAAAATCAGTGTCAAATAAAGTTGTTTAATTTCCAGGCTCGAAGGTTAATCATGCTCAAGGAAGACGATCAATGCGGTTTGTGGTCTGACCTACATGTTAGCCGTACAGCTGCAAAAAAGTGCTCTAATACCGTATGTCCATCCTTTCCGATCATAAATGGTTGTTTGCAAAAATACTATAAAATTGTAGGAATCGGGGTTGGGGATGTGTGTTCTTTTGGTGCATATTTAGCAAAGAATGGCAAAAACACAGATAGCATGACTCCAACAATTGCCAACATAAAACCCCAACCAATCTGACAGTCTCCTGCATAGTATATGCTTGAATTTTCACAGTACTTTTTCACAGTAGTAGAGTTGAGGCCGAATGGAAACACCAAAATGCCAGATCCCATCATGAACACTGGAAAAAAACAAAACAATTAAATGTAAATTTTCTGAAGTTTAGATATGTACAATACAAAAATTGTATTTTGGCAGGTAAAAACATAATTAGAATGCAATGGTACTCATTAGTTAGGATATCGTCATAACCTACAATATAGTTTAAAAATGATGGATGTAATAATTTAGAGTCACCACTAGGCGTCCCTAGTGGTGACTCTGAATTATTACATCTATCATTTTTAACCGATATTATATTATCTCCAGCCAACACATGATGATCTGAAAACATCCAGAAGACTTAAGCCTTTTGATGGAAATTACATACAAGGCATGTTTCCTTCATTGAAATTGTAAGTGACCATTTGGAACTATACTTTTTTACACATTATACACACAGTTATACGCTATGTTGTAGTGCTCTTTGTTGGTTTAGCAGATATATTTTTGTATATATATGCGTGTATATATCAGTCTGTGTGCATATATACTTGCTGTGTGTATTTATGCATGTGTGTTTGCTTATGATCCTGTGTGTGTATATGAATTTGTGACTGTGTGAGTCTATGTGTGTGTTTTTGTGTCCATTTTTGTATACGAGTTTGTATGTATGTCAATGTGTCTCTATGTATATGTGTCCGCGTGTGTGTATAAATGTACATGTTTAATGAATGTAAGTATGTTTGAATATGATTGCGTATGTATATGAAAGCCGGTACTTTCATATACATTATGACATTTCCCTAACTAAAAGGAATTGGGTGGTGCAGAGGGAGACCCTAGATGTTTTTTTTGTACAGTTACAGGATGGGGAGAGTGTCAAAATACATTTCTGCCTTGGGTGCCATGTAACATGGTACACACTTCTGTATCTAGCCGCTTTGAATGAGAAGGTTGCTTCACTCTGCAGGCTGAAAAGGTAGCTTTTTTCATAATTTCCTGCTTTACACACCCATTCCAGATGCAGGGCTGATCTAACCAGTGTACTATCCCTAGGAAAGCTAGAAAAGTGTCTTGGCCATGCCAGACAGATATATACATATATACATGTACACCCGGAAGATGTCTTAACCTGGCAACATCTTGATGAGGCGAAGAGAGCAAGACTATTCAGTGTGATTATGCAGAGCAGGCACCAGTGCCGGGTTTGTCTCTCCTGTCTCTCACATGATGCCCTGTTTCTTTCATAACTGAGAAGGGTAGGTAAAGGAGTGGGGAAGCTAAAGAAACTCCCCCAGTTGAGAGGTGTGCCCAATAATGCAATCTGACCATATTATTATAGTAGGTGTATAAACAAAGATTGCCTACTTTGCAAATTATTGTGTCATTGTCTAAAAGTGTTTGCTGGTTTAAAAAGATAATTATCAAGTGAAACATGTTGATTTAAATATAGCGTTCAGTTTTAAATAAATGTCTAGTTATTCTGTTTACTCAGAGCAACTTGACTAAAATTAGCTTAATTCCTTCAAATTCAAGGAAATAACCTGATTTTTTAACCAATCATCTTGCGGCAAAGTCTGCCATATTTAACCAGAGTGAAATATTTTTATTAGAAATAATTTTGAAGAGTGTTATGTATTGAACAATGGAAATCTGCCAAAATACTTGCAAAATGGAAGCCAAAATAATTTAGTTTTTTTTTTTTTTTTTTTTTATATATCCTGCTCAATCAACCAATATATTATTTTCAACTTTGACACTATGGAAGCTTGACACCTCTCACAATAACAACAACAACTATATTTATCTGCATTCCTCTGCACAAGTATAGCAATCTCTCGTTTTATATGCTGCCTTGCAATGCTAATCCAATTAATTTTAGACATCTAAGCATGGAGCATGATGGGAGTTTTAGCTATAAATAGTTGGGCTTGCGATGGTTACCAATTCTGGTTACAGCAGTAATATTAAAATTGCTATATGCAATTCTATTTTGCATTATTTATATACACTTTGGACTGCACTTTATACAGCAAATACACTATATTACAAATCCAATCTGTCAGACCGAGACAAACTGTTCCATAAACCTACATTAAGTCAAAGGGATATATTTTTGTTGAAACCTGTTTCATGAGTGAATTATTCTTCAATCTACTGTTACCAGACCTTTGTATATATTTTATTTTTTTTATCTTATTTAATGTTTACAGGAAATCTTTAAAGCAGTATTTATATGCGTGTAATGAAAAAGAATAACTGCAAGGAAGAAAACTCAATTTTGATTTTGAAGGTCAACTGTGAAACAATTAAAACATATCTTTGACAAGAAATGGAAGATGTAATATATATTATTGCACATACCTCGCTTTAAAGGAGATCGGAGCCAAAATAAGCATCTCCTCTGCTTTGTCTAGCTATCCAGCTGGGGAAATGGCATGGCTCAACTGGCGCATAGTGTGCAATCAATTCTCAAAATGATCTTTGTTTTAGAATGACATGACAAACAGAAAACAATGCGATAAGCGAGGGCTCTGCGACGTGGCCTTTCTCTCACTGAAATTATGGCTTTTGTTGTGTTACATTTTCAGACAATAGGCAGAGGATAGAAATTTGCTACCTTCTTGGGAATATTTTACTAAATACAAAAAAAAAAGGAGGAAGTAACAATAATGTCCTTAGTGTAAAAAAATATTAATTTCACCACTTCTGTTGTGTAACTGTAATTCTGTTCCCGATCAGCACTAAAATTATATAAAGTCCAGATAAAGAAACACTGGGTACTGATTATAAACTGGGTTTACCAGCGAAATTCCACTTATTTGCAGAGTATCATTAAGAAGTAAAAAAATGTTGGGGCTAGCACCCCTACCTCAATGAAAATATCCAAAAATACATTTTCACTGAGGCAGGGATAATATCCCAGAAGGGAAAAGTATGAAAACAAAGTCCACATTGAACAAGGTAGAATAAAAGGGACAAAATGTGTTCAAGACTGACAGGATGTAATACAGGGCCAACATTCCCTCTCTGTCCCTAATTTAGTCCCCAGACTTTGCATCAGTTTTGGTTAGTTTACTATCTGTTGAAGAGGAAGATTACAAAAGTAACACACCTTGGCCGTCCAAAACAATTCTCTTATCCATACTTTTAAATTAGTTTTTTTTTACATTTTTTCATATTTAAAGTTCTCCTGATGATGTTTGCTTATAAACTTCAATACCAGGTACTCTGTTATAAAACTGATCAAGATGATATATTTAGCATATATCTATTTATTTGCTCTGTTTGTTTACAACATTGAAAAAAAAAAGATAAAAAAACACAACCTAATCAGATACTTAGCACGCACCTAAGCTCATATTACACAGCGTAATTATATTACCCATAATATAATCAGCTGAATAGTATTATTATCAGTATATAGATAGTAATTATTGGATGAGACAGTATTATCTATACCTATACTGAAGGTTATTGTGCTTTATCAATCTTTCACATGCATATACATATATAGTATCAGTATATATCGTTAGTGAGCTTACTGTCTACATATTCTAAGAAATTCAATAAAACTTCAGTTTTATTATGGAAATGTCATGTGTAAATAACTGGTGATAGATTTTCTATCTGTCTACGGTATTCTTTTTAGAATGACTATTTTATGCTGTGTTGATTGCAATTGAATTTAGACTATTAAATTCAATAGAAAAAGGTTAAAAGGTAAGCAATGTATAGAAGAAAGCACCACTTCGTGCCAGAGCACTTATTAAAACTGAGAAGTGAAGCATGATTGCAAATTGTTGAAATAAGAGTTTGCCAGTGGCCACAAAGAGAATACTGAATGCACTTATATGTAAATTGAAATTATGTTCTGTAAATTC